ACTTTATAACTTTCACTCGCCTTCATATAAAATTTCACACTTTCATTCATAACCTTAAATAATATTTTCTCTAAATCACAATATAAATTATTGTAAACTAATTTATATTTATAAAAAATTGGTTCAAATTTTAATTTTTTTTAATTTTCACATCTTTTTGATCAAACTCTTAAATGAAATAAATATAATATTTAACTTATCTAAAAGACTCTCATTAATTACTTAAGTGAAATATAATAATGTAAGGATATAATTGATAGAATATATATATATATATATAACACCTATTTAAAGGCCTATATTTTTAGATCAAATGGAGTTCTAGAAAATGCTCTATGTTATGGTTAGAGCAAGCAGCATTCTCATTCGGTGCTCATCAGACCGATGAGCAATGAAAGCTCATCACCCAAAATGCATAGTTTGGGTAACAAAACAGATCTGAGCCATTAGTTCTTAAATAATCTCAACCGTTCTTTTTAATTTGATATTTAGGTTTTTTAATTTGTTATTCCTCTTCCTCTCCAAACCAAACTGAAAGCGTCGGACCAAAGCTGCTATTCTTCTTCCTCCCCAAATAGAAAGTGTCAACACACCAAAGACTTGCAATAGCTTCGGCAAGATAGCAACCCTCTGCTATTTGCAAATTTTGACAAGTGAAGAGGTCTGACCATTGATAAAGGTTAGAGTTCTGCCAATCCAACATTTGCAAGTCATGGAATTTGAACAAGTTTGTGTGTATGTTAATTTTTTCAATCAATCGATCCTTGCTAATTTCAATCCATTGAACAAGCAAGGCCTTCTCTTTGTTTGTTTTGGGTATAATAATCCATTAATAGAAACTATATAATATCTTCCTCTTTAATTTAGCTTGTGGGCTACCAATTAGCATGTGAGAATGTGGTTTGAGAAGCTTTCTCGTGATTTCATCTTCATGCTCTTATTCAACTTTGTCGATTTAACTGAGTAGTTCTTATGCATTATTAGAATAGATGCTTGGTACATAAATAGGAATTTAGACATTAAAGTTATCTTGAAATTTGTAATACACCATATAACAAAAAAGGAAAGAAAATAACAGTACACAAAGACACAATAGTCATATATCAAGGAAAGGAAGATACATAGAATTAAAGACGAAATAACTAGCTTCTTAAATGCTCCATAAAGTATTGACCTAGATTGCACAAAATCTAGGCTTAAGCTATGGGTGCATTAGGCTGCATCTTCCTAGATCAAGGCTTCAATTTACTGAATAATAACACTGCTTCTCCTACTCCTGTTGAGGAGCAGATAATAATCAATCTCAGAGTGCATCCAAGCTTTTCAAACCTTACTTGAGCTATGGCCTTAGTTGAGACATCTGCAACTTGAGCTTTAGTTAAGATGCATGCAAAAGTCAACAATTTATGAATTCACTTTCACTTTGATGAAGCTGTTGGCTTATTGCAATGTGCTTTTTTTCTTTTTTAGTTGTGATAGGCAATGTTATTTTTTATATTGATGGATGCTATATGGGAAGTTGATTAATTGCTTTAAGTTCTTCAAGAAGTCTCTTTTTTAGGTGATATCCTCAAAAAGTCTCTTTAACCAAACCTCTCAGTAAAATGTAATTAACTTAACTAAAAGGATAAACCCATGCTATCTAATAAAACTTATGAATAATATAATTAACTATGATCAAGTAAGATCTTTTGAACAACATAATTAACTTCATAATTATAGATGAAAGAAAATGTTTCGACAATCTAATCCTTAAATTTGCTTTTATAATAATGCCAATGTATCTTGTGTTAATTGGTGATTATTGTTGTTGTCGTTCTTTCTAATAAGAAGCTTTATGTATAGTCATAAAGAATTCAAAACATGTCATAGGCGCTTCAATCGTGAATCTTTAACTTGCTGATAAGGAAGTTGTCATTGATGTTGACAGAACAAATAACTCAACCAGTTCTACAACACATAGAAATCTCTACATGGCCTAGTAAGTCATTAAAATTCTTAAAATGGATTGCTTATCAATCTTGAAAGGAGTCTAGGGTGTCATCTTTTATTTGACCATTAATCATGCAAAATGATCTTTTCTCAGCACAGAAGGAATAACAGCTTCTATGATGTTTGATACTTTTAATTTATATCTCAAAGTCTTGATAAATTATTTGTACATAAACTTGCAAGTTTTTGCTTTACCTCATGTCACTTTGAAGCCTTTCGTTTCAAGCTACTTTCTTTGCTTTGCCATTTGAATATGTGTACAGTATTTTAGTTTCTTAATTATTTATGTATTTGAAGTCTTTTTTTAATGGAATTGAATAATTCTTCAAACAATATCAAGTGTTGTAAATTAGCTAATTAGTTCTCACTTTTACTAAACTTGTTTCTATTACTAAAATAAATCAACCCTTTGCTTAAACTAAATAAGTATATCGTTTACACAATTACATGCTCACACAACTTTTGATGAAATGTCACACCCCTGTTTTGGTATTCAAGTATTTTTTTTCCTATTCTCTTCATATTAAGATAGTGTTGATAGTTTGTACTTGTAGATTGAAATGATATGCAAGCTGAACATAGTTCTTACACTCAATAAATATTTTATTTACAAAAATTATTAAGGAATGGGTTTGGACTCAACCAAATTGATTTAACTCCAACAGTAGAAGATATATTCAGAAATAAGTTATCTTGTAATAGAATGGACATATGCAATAATAGATTAACAACAAAAACACAAGAGGAAGGCTGAAAACTATCCAACAATGGATGGAGATTGATTTGCTATTAAATGGTAGCAGGGGTAGATGATTGTTGTCCAATAAAGCAAAGCAAGTGCCATCCAACCAAAAGAACTATACTATGAAGTCATGTGCTCCAAGAGTGGAGATGGGGGCATACCAAAAAAAATCTAAGAAAATTATGCAATGCTGGTAAATCCAACAGTCTGTTGCTCTCATCGCACAGAAGGTCTCGTTTGCCCAGGTTCACAGTCTCGTCTGCCCAAGGTAAGATTTTCTCTTAATTTTTTTCCATAATCTTGTCATGGTTCTTTGTATTGGAGAAATATTTGATTTGAGTAGCCCTGTTTTTATATTCTTTCCCTTGAGGAGGTTCCTGGTTTATGTTGTGAAATTTTTGTGCTTAAAATTGATCTAATTTTTCTGCTAAGAAATACTAGCTTAGATGTTCAGTTTAAAACCTTGTCTGCTTTCATTGGGCTGATTTCTGAACATATGGTTTGGCATTGCTACGGCCATCTAAAGATTTCTTTAACTACTGATTGGGTTGGTTGCATATATACCTTAGTGCAATTATATCACATTTTGTAAGGTGTTATTCTCAATTTCCTCTATTTTTGGTTGCATTAGTGCATATCACATTCCATGCTACATGTATTTTAAAGGTCTCGTTTGCCCAGAATTAGATTTTCTCTCGATTATTCTTATGCCAAATTTTGCCCAGAAAGTCAAGAGAAAGATTGAATTAATGGAATTGGATTACATTTTGGACTTGATTTGTGTATGTGTGAATTTATTGTTGGACTTGGATATATTGTTGGAATTGGATTTGCACTTCTAAATGGATTTATATGTGTGTGAATTATTATTGGACTTGGGTTACATTTTGGAGTTATATGTGTGTGAATTATTGTTGGACTTGGATTAGATTCTTCTTAACTAATAATTTATGGTTTTATATTTTTTTATGCTAGTATGGAGGATCAAGCTTCGATTGCATCACCCTTTGAAACATCTCAAACATCAACCCCTACTGGACCTTCCCATTCACCAACCTCTACTGAACCTACACAAATCCCAACCCATACTCTCCCTATACAAATAGCAAACCCTGCCCCTCCCTATTCCCCTCAATCTGTCCCTCCTACTGCACCTCCTTCTCTTCCCCCTTATGCTCCTCCCACCCAAACACCCATAAAACATGTCACACAAGTGACAAATGTTGAGAGAAGGGGTTAAAAAAAGAAAGAAAAGGAACCCAAGCATACATCAGAGGTGTGGGATTATTTTATTAGATTGCTTATAAAAGAAACTAATGGGGAGCATAGAGCAGCATGCAAGTATTGCCACACGACTTATGCTTCTAATCCATCACACCATGGGACACATTCTTTATTGAAGCACATCCCTAAGTGTCCAAAGAACCCTCACAAGGCCACCAAAGATAAGAAACAAGCAATGATAAATTTGTTATCTAGTGGGACAAGTGGGCAAGGAAAATCTATAGTCACTTACTTATATGATGAGAAGAGGTGTAGAAGAGCTCTTGCTGAATTTATTATTTGTGATGAGCAGTCATTTAGAATTGTTGAGAAGCCTACATTTAAGAAATTGTTGAATGAGTTTGAACCTCGCTTTCCAATCCCTTCAAGAACAACAATTGCGAGGGATGTGTGGCAGCTATATCTTGATGAAGTAAAAGTGCTAAAGAAGATCTTGAAGCAATGTTCTAAGCATGTTTGTCTCACGACAGATTGCTGGACGTCAAACTAAAATTTTAATTACTTGCGTTTGATGACATATTTTATTGACACTGAATGAAAGCTTCACAAAATGATCCTAAGTTTTGTTATAATTGAAAATCATAAAGGTTAGACTATAGGGAAGACCATTGAGTAATGCTTGTTAGATTGGGGTATTGATAAGATGTTTAGCATAACTATAGATAATGTTTCATCTAATAACACGGCTTTGGGATATCTTAAAAGAAGGTTGAGAAGTTGGAAGGGCTTAATTTGTGGAGGAGACTATCTACAATTAAGATGTTGTGCACATGTTCTTAATTTGGTGGTCAATGAAGGCATCAAACACATGAAAGATAATTTTAAAGCCATTCTAAGTGCTGTGAGATATGTTCGGTCTTCTCCTTCACGGTTTCTAAAGTTTAAAAATTGGGTTAAATCTGAAAAAATAAAAACTAAGAGCCTTGTCTGCCTTGATGTTAGTACTCGATGGAATTCAACATATTTGATGTTAGAAGCTGCAATGAAGTTTCAAAAGGTGTTTGAACGGATGCGTGATGAAGATGATGACTATATTGCATTCTTTAACTCTAAGCAAGAGGGAGGTGTTTTCTCTGGCTCTATTCTTGATGATTGGAAAAATGCTAAAGTCTTCATCAAATTCTTAAAGATCTTTTATGACATAAATTTAAAATTTTCAAGCTCCCTTATTGTAACATCAAATGATTGTTTTCATCAAATTGCTCGTGTTCAACAGATGTTGCAGAAGCACATTGAAAATAGTGGTAATACTTTTTTGGTAGATATGAGCTTTAAGATGCATATGAAGTTTGATAAGTATTGGGGTCAAGCAGATAATATGAATCCATTATTAATTGTGGTTGTGATTTTAGATCCTCAGTACAAATTAGTTTATGTAAATCACATGTTTGAACTCCTTTTCAATAACCCTGAAGAATGTGCATTGATGATGGATAAGGTCAAAACTTATTTGTATCGATTGTTTGATGAGTATTCTGTTGGGATTTCTACTGAATCAGGGCCTACCCATGTTACTAATGTATCTACAAGTTCATTGCCCTCTCTTGATGATGATGATGATGACGACAACATTGAGGATCCAGGGGCAATGTGGTTAGAGTCTTTGAAGAAAAGAACTTCAATGGATCCACAAAGTGAGCTAGACAGATATCTTGCAACTGATTCTAGAGCTGAAATCTCATCATCTGATTATGAGTTTGACATATTATCATGGTGGAAAGAAAATTCTGAAAAATATAAAATTCTCTCCCACATGGCACGAGATGTATTGGCTTTGCCAGTTTCTACAGCGGCTTCTGAGTCTGCATTTAGCACTAGTGGACGTGTAGTTGATCAATATATGAGTTCTTTATCCCCTAAAATGGCAGAAGCATTGATTTATGGGCAAAATTGGCTGCAAAGTGGGCAATCTCTATCTGAGTTGGTTGATAAGCTCCATGAGTTTGATAACTTTAATGAGACAGAAAATATTATTCAGCTTACAAGTAATAATTTTTTTTCTAAAGTTTACACATGCACACATACACCCTTTATTTTAGTTTTTATATTAATGTAATTTTTTTTTTGTCTTTAGATGCAACACTTGGAGGAGAGAATGCGATTGTTAGTGTTGATTAAAGTGTTTCTTTACAAGTATATCTTGACCCTTTATTAACTCTTTGAAAAATTAAAGAGCAAGTGTGTAAATTTAGTTAAATTGGATGAAGTGGACACTAGTGATAAGTCCTTTATGCATACATGCATGCCCCCTACTGGCCCCCTTTATTCTGCTTTGCTATTTACCAAAGTTATGCTTCGGCTACTGCAGATTCCATTTCTTTTGACCCCTTTTATCTAGAGGAGGGCAGATTTGATGCATTCCAGAGCAAATGTTGGTTTGCATGTGAGTTGCCTTTTACTCCATTCAAGATTTACTAATTACTATGCATTTTCCTTGAATAAGGATTTTCATCTGTTTAGTTATGACATATTTTTTCTCTTCCATTCATGCAGGTTGGGAGTTAGGAAGAAATCTTTTGTTAATTGGAGTCTACTCTTTCAAATTGCTGTTTCTCATATGATGCTCCAAGCTTTTGTAAAATTTATTGTTTTCAATGATCATAGCTGTTATTTTAGATTCAATTATGGATAATTTGATATTGTGCCATGACTTGTTTTCAAGTTGGGTGTTGAATTATGGATAATTAGATATTGTGGCTGTCATTATTATAGTGGATTGATGGTTTTTGACTTTATGAATGCTATTTTGAGTTGATGCATAAGACTATTGTTGATTTGTGAAAGTTTTATTTCAAAATGATAAGAAAAGTTGTGATTTAATGGGAAGGGAGATTATTTGATGGGCTTGGCAAAGCTGCCCAGTCAGCCCTACACAACCCAAACTAATAGGGCATTTTGTGAGCTGGGCTAGGCTTCCAGCTGTATTTTGCAGCCCATTTATTCTTCGAGCTGGGCATCGAGTAGGTTCTTGCCCAGCCCTGCCCTACCCATGTGCAACCCTAGTCTTTGTCCTTCCTCCTCTTGTTGGGCTTGGAGCGATTCATTTCGTCCTTCCTCCTGTTGTCTTACTTGCATTGATCCTTGTATTCCTTTTTCCTCCTCTATCTCAAAACAGTCTCTTCCTCCTTCCTGCCCTATTTCGATGTACTCCCTTCCTTCTTCTTGCTCTATTTCTATGCCATTCATTTCTCTAGCTCTGCTCTACTTTGAACTTTTGCGGGAGAATTTGAAGAATGAAAATATGATCCTACTCAATTATCAACCCATAGATGAGAGAATTTTAGCTGATCTAATGGTTAAAATTATACTGCCATAAACAGTCAGGATTCCTAAGCAAGACAGTGCATTTTAGGTGATAAGCTTTCGGTGCTCATTAGTCTGATGAGCATCCAACGAGAATGCAAAAGGGGTAATAGTTTTAAAATGAAAGTAATAATTTAAAAAAATTAATATAAATTTTTTTATCACAAACAATTCTCTACCATATAAAAGAAGTACAAAGATTTTATTTAATGAAAATTAAAAATACATGATTCTAATAAATACTCTCTCTTTTAAAAAATATAAGGCATTTTTAATCTAATATGACTCCTAATAAAGTAATTATTTATATCCAAATTAACATTATCTTTTCATATTTACTTTTATTTAATAAGGTATTTTACTTTAAAATAAATATAAGTTGATTTTTTTTATTATTGATACTTTAAAAAAATATTAATTATACCTTAAAATATCAAAAATGCATTGCACATTTTAATGGAGAAAATATAAAAGAGAGTCTTTTATGTTATTATAATGATAAGTTTGATGCATTGCTTTTTAGTATTTAATTTTATTAATTTGTACCCTTATTATAATTTAATTAAATATTAAAAATTATTTTTTATAAAAATATTGATATTTATTTTATATATAAATTATGCACCCATTCATTTACTTTTCTGCGCCCGTCACTGCCCTCGAGATTCTTCAAAGGCGTTGGCAAGAATATATACGATCAATTTGTATAATATAAACGACCGAAGAATGAACATGATCATTGATCAATCCATTTTTTGTGAGTCGTGGAACAGATGAAACATTCACTCTAGTCTAGCCCTGCTTGTCGATCAAAAAATCCAGGTCGTTAAATGAAAAGCATCCAATTGCTATGGGGCTAGATTAGCAAATGTCAACTGACGAGACAACAAATACTTCTCATCATTATCATCTATCTCAGGACTCTCTTCAGCGTCACCATTCACGCCATTTGATTCAGAAACATCAACTTTAAAGCATTCCTCTGCTGCGCCCTTTTCTTCTTCATCATCTTCTTCTTCTTTCAGCTTCTGCATTTCTGATTCAACCAAAGCTACCATTCTCGCACGCTCTCTGTCCCTCGGGTACGTACAGTAGAGAAACGAGTAGATGAAGCAGCAGATCGCCATGGGAATCCCAATTGCAGTGTAGAGAGCTTTCGCCAGCGAAGCAGCATTTTCCCTGTCTGTCTCAATCTCGACAGAGTCCGAGGTTCCTTTCGGAACTGGTCTGAAACCATACACGTGTTGAGCCAAAATCCCAACGATAGGAGGAGCGAAAGATGCCAACACAGACTCGAAAGATCGATCCAAAGCATAAATGCTCGTCCGAGACCTCTCAGGCACTATTTCTGCAAATATGGGACTGTTCACACCGTCAACATATCGCACAACAAAACCAAAACCTATCTCAATTCGTTACAGAGTAATACACTTACTTGTTAGTAGCAGAAGCATTCCAAGATATGGACAATCCCATGATGAACAAGACGAAGCCATGCAAGAAAGCTGTGGAAGGATCATCAGGTAAGGCCAGCAATAAAATCGCTGCTAAAGGAATGGCTGAACCAGAGCTTATTTGAGAGAGCATTATTCTGCCAGAGTTGGGTAAGCGTTGAGATAAGATATCTCCCATTTTGCCTCCAAACAAAGCCCCTAGAGAACCAGCAAGAACGAACAGAGTCCAGAGGAAAGCAGTTTCGACGTGAGAAAAGCCGATGAGTTCTAACCAGAGAGTCGCAAATGACAAGGCTGACCAGGGGAAGGAACCTGAAATCCCCTGAGCCACAATTATCTGAAACGATGGAATCCCAATTACTGACTTTGCTTCTTTAATCATATCCTTCATTTCAGAACAAAAGGATTTAGAAGGACCTTGATGCTTGGCTTTGATGTTGGTGACATCGCTGTTGGAAAAGCGAGGATCGTTGGCGAAGAAATAAACGAGTATTCCGACTAAGACACTGATGAGTGCAACTAAATGGAAAGAGATTCTCCAGCCAGGTATGCCAGCGAATGAAGTTGAGGCTAGCAGAACAGAACAGAACCCACCGATGATGCTTCCAAAGTTTCCGGTTAATGCAAGCCACCCAAAGGCCATGCCACGATTGCTATCATCTGTTGAGTCAGCAACCAGAGACTGAATTGCTGGAATAACAATGGCGAGGCCGATCCCGTTTAAACCTCTAGAGATTGCCACCTTTTAGTTCAAATTGTGCAAAAAGTAACAGTAAGAAGAAATTCCCAGTAATGATCTGTTAAGCAAATTTATATTCTACTCCTTGAATAAAATTGTAGCTGCTGTACATTTATCTTTAAAATCCAACAAAGCTGCTATGGATATTTTTGGTGGAAAAAGCACAGAACATCCCAATTCCAAAGTAATATTTTTTGACGGAACAGAATTTCCCACGTTAAATGAAAGGAAAGGTACCATCTCTCTCTCTCTCTCTCTATTTTTTTTTTTTTTGGAAGTGTTTATTGATAGTCACAGCAATTGGATATGTGGTTTTAGCTCCAAACTAACCAGTGTCCCTCGGCTGTGACAGAATTAACTAGTACTCCTCAAGTTTTATTTATAAATTATTTTTAACATATTTTATTAAAATTAAAAAAAATCTTAAACCTCAATAATTTTTTCTTAAAATTTAACAAGTTTACACCTTTACCCCTAATAAATATTCTTAAATCTTATTACTGATATTTTTATTCAAAGTATTTAATAAGGGTAAAAATGTAAAGAAGGACATTGAAAATTGACAAGCACTTTATAAATAGAATCAAATTTTTTCTTCTCTTTGCCCTATAAATAGGATCAGAGAAATATTATACAGGATCTTAGCTTGTGCTAGGAGCAAAATCTCGTCAAAGTTGAAGTCTTTTCCAATTGTTTTGAAGCCATTAATTTAATCATTTGGAGTTGTGATGTCAATTAGCTTTCAAGGATCTTGTAGATCAAGCTAGATCCTTCCTTTATAAGGGTGGTAAAATTGCTTTTAACCATGTTTATTGGGATTGAATTAGGGAGGTGGACTTTTTAATTAGACTATCTCACTCTTTAGATGTTAATTTTGCCTCTTTGATCATCATCCATGCTTAAATTTAAGGTGGAAGATAACCAAGGAGGATAGGTTATGGTTTTTTATCTTCTTTTTGTTCCTTTTTGCTTTTTTCTTCAGTTGTATGTCATTTACCTAGTTGATTAATGTATCTTAGTATTATTAAAACAATGTTTATTGATTTATATTATATTTTTTCCCAAATTTAAAAATTGATTTATGTAAATTGTTATGTTCATCTATTTATAGGAAGTATTTGGTATGAAAGGTTTTGCCAGGGATCTTATGGCTAGCAATCTTTTTTATCATTGTTGAAAAATATAACTTTTAATTCATGTACTTTACTTATATTTTATTATAAATTTTTATATTTTTAGATCTCTATACTTTTTTCAATGTTTTAAACCCTTTTAAAGTCTTTATACTTTGTTTATTTATGAATTTAAAACATTAAAAATAAAAATATAAGGACTCAAAACACACAAAAAAGTACAGAAACCTATAACAAAATATGAGTAAAGTGCAAGGATCAAAATTTATATTTTTACATAGTTATATGTGACAATTTGTTCATATTTGAACTTGATTGATTTTGTTAGGACTAGGCGAGTGTTTAAATGAAAAGTAACCAAAAAAAAAAAGTTAATGTTTTTCGTACACATTAAATCAGTCAAATGATTGCGCATTTAGCAAGAACATAACGCCGAACATTCTAGACACGTTGTGATAATAATTAATAAGGTTAACTAGACTAACTGTAGAAAAATATTCATTCTGGCTCTACGTTTTTATTTCTTTTGATAAAGCTCTCCGTTTTAACAGTTAGAAGTATCATAATTAAATCATTCGATTGTTAGTTCCCCTGAAAACCAAGACGAAAGTGGTGTGAAGCCTCCCTGATTTTAGGTCACACATTATAATCGCATTCCTTATTGAACCAAACTTGCTATTTTCTACAAACTTTAACACCGAAAGAAAGGGGAAAAAAAACTTTAAATAATTTACTTCGTCATCAAAATTCTGTCCGGTCAAACTCAGGCTCTGGTATGAGGTATCACCGGAGAAGTGATCTGCTCGAAGGAATCTCAGAGAGAATATTCGAGATTCACAGAGAAGCAGATCGCATAGCAGCATTATCAGACATATTCAGAAACACACGAATGATTTTCTTGCCTTCTACGACTCCGACGAATCGAAAGCAAAAGAGAAAGAAGTTAAAGTCAAAGGAAAGTGAAGGTACCTGTAAGAAGGTGGAGGAGACGGCGACGAGGAAGGTAGCGGCAGCCCAGAGAAAAGCACCGAGAGCGATGACACGAGCACGATTGTAACGCATGGAGAGGTAAGCGGCGAGAGGATAACATAAAGATTGAACGATGGATCGGAAGAGAGTGAGTGAACCTAAGCCAGTAGGATCGGTGTGTAGAGCAGCCCCGATCTCCTTATAAACACCTGGCAGTAAAGATTCATCGGCCCTCTCCATAATACTAGCGAGATTCACGAACACTAAGGTTGCTGTCTCTGATTTCATCTTGAAATATTTCATTAATGGCGGTTCCTCCTAAACTCTGTGTCTTCGATCCCACCAAAGAGGAAGCGGTGGGGGGAGGCAAATGGAACAGAAGAGACAGACAGAGAGACTTTGAAGGTTGACCCGACTGGAATGGTTGTGTTTGTTTGACAAGGAAGTAGTCGTTGATGGGTGTGTACACGTGTACGGTGAGGATTAATTGGACACTGGATAAACTTGTTTGACGGGAAATTAATAAGGAAACAATTGGTTTTTAAGGAAGGAGAAGCAAAGGAAGAGGGAAAACAGTGGCCAATCAAAAAGGGTGCTGCGATAACTTTGAGATTCGCGGGGTCATACTGATTGGGACATGCGTTTTAAGGAAATGGAATCCGTTGGGAAAATCCCAATGGAGAATGCATTGAGCACTGGAGTGATGAGAAATTCTTACACCGAGTTATTTACTATAGGTTATCCAATAAAAAAGTTATAATCATAAATTTATTTTCTCATTAATGACGAATAGAGAAAAAATAAGAAAAAAAAATTAAAAATAAAGTCATTAAAAAATAATACTTTTCTTATCCCAAATAATAAAAATATTTTTAAATAAAATTACACATACTAATAAGATTTATTAAATACACTTTACAACATTATTTTTTAAAAATAAAATAAATTTTTAAAAATATTCTTTATTTAATATTTTATTTGTAAAAGAGCATTAAAAAGAGAAGATATAATGGAAAGAATAATATTAAAAAAGTATTATTAATAAAACTTTATTTTTATTAAAATATCTTATATTTTGATACGTCAAATTTTTTAAAAAAATATTTTATAATTTGGAACAAAGGAAGTAATAGATAGAATGAGAAATTTACATTATTCATGATCCATCTCATAAAATTGTCACAATTCAATCAAATAAAATTTTATCTGTCATTATTTTAGTAATTTTATTTTTATAAAAGAATGTCTATTTAATTTTTTACCTTTTCTCTATTCATTATCATTAATATCAGTATTAATTTATATTTAATATCATTTGAATGTCATGTTTTTATTAGATGAACTATAAAAAACATGATGCATTAGGTCCACCTACGTATTTCTCTACATAAGATTAATTTGATTCAATTGGTAATGGCGTGGCATGTTTTCATTAAACAAATCATGGATAATTTGATGTATTGGGTTCATATAAGAATTTTTAGTAATTTGATTTAACATCCCAAAGGACCTGGACCAGGTTTTCGATTTTGATTAGTTCGGATTTCAGTTCAGCCTCATCACTAGACGTGAGGCGAATCCAAAAAGCACTTCATGCAAAAAGTGATTTGATATTCAATCCATATTTTAAGGAGTTCCTGCCCCATCACTTTAAAATGTCAATTGATGGCTTGATTCTATTATTAATATTTGCCCAAAATACATCGTAAGGCCCTCAACTTTAACTCATATAATCTCCCTCATCTTCAGAAGTGAGAACATTACATCCTTAACTTTCAAATTTTGACCACCAACCCTTTACTGTTAAAATTAACAAAATGCATGCCCAGCACACTATTTATTTGGCATATGACATGTACTTTATTGTATTTTGTTAATTTATACTGAACTAATTTGCCGGCGGGCAATTTTGTAATTTTACCGGTAGCAATCCGTTTCTTCATCCCTGCGAGTCCTTTTCTTTCCGTGATGGTCGCTTCATGAACTTTCATTTTATGCAGGAATCGATTCGTTATGAGAGGAGACTGAGGGATGCAATAAATCATACATAAGAAGAAATATGACCAAAATTCCATAATATAATCACAAAGATATTTTAGATCTATTTTTTCATATGTTCACAGAAAACATTCGATGTGAAAGCCAAAAGAAAAGGTGTCCATTTTAACCGTGATTGGTCGACCATGACATTTTTATGAGGTGTCAGAGATAATCACGATTGGTTTTTGACATTAGCTCATCCTGCATAGATGATTCTAAGAAATTATTGGCCAAAAATGAAATTAAATAATGTTTTCCCAACGAAGAAGACGATCAGATGCTTAAGCAAACAATTCCAGATCTGAAAACGGAAAGTGATGGAGATGGGATGCACGAGGATGATCACACAGAAGATAACAAATAGAATCACAAAAAACAAAGATGATCCGAAGTAGAATGAAATATTACAAATAGGGAAGACTTGCGACTTGGCAGATATGGAGAAAATACAAGATAAGGGATTGAAGATTGTTATAGACAAATAGAATAAAAAATTTTCCTTTTATAAAATTAAGTAATATAAATTAATAAAATACAACAAATTACATGTCACTTATTGAATAATTTTAAATAGTCTGATGTGGCAATTAAGGGTGTAATTGCAAGGGGTTGGTAGTCAAATTTTGAAAATTTAATGGTCATTTTAATTGCAAGGGGTTGGTAGTCAAATTTTGAAAATTAAGGGTGTAATTTTTACATTTTTGAAAATGAGGAAAGTCATACTTGTACGAAGAAGAGAGTTTTTTATATTTTAACCTTTATTAATACTTCCTATTGCTGCTCATTCATTACCACCTTTCATAGAGGGAGGTAATGTGAGAACATATTAAATGCACCATATCTAAAAAGTCTTTAAGTGTTATCATGGATGTGTATAAGTACTTTACAAGTTAAAATAATACAATGATTAATAAAATGTGTTAAATATAAATAAGTTAGTTAAGATATATAGTTAATCAATAAATTTATCTTGTAAAATAATTGCAAAGACTCACAATCAATTCTCCACAAGTGATAACATTTGTTGCATCCTTATTATCGATGTTATCCCAAGTATTGATATTGTATCACAAGTATCGATGTCAAAACCAATCATCATGCCCTCGGTGCAAGAAACATAATGTTTCGGCATCTCTCAATGCTTGTTAGAGAGGGTGCTTGAGATTTAAAAGGGGCCTTACAGGTAACCTGTGACTTATGCTTTAGACTAGGTGTAGGGATAGCCTACGAGGTGCAGGGACCTTCAAGGAAGGTGCAAGGGTAGGTTGCATGATAGAGTCCTTAGTCCCCTTAAAAGTCTTCCTTTTCTTGCCTTTATTATCCTTGGAGGGCTTTTTCACATAAAGCTTGTCAACAAGCTTCAATCATACAATGTTAGTAATCAATCTAAATACAAGAAAAAATACAATGTTGAGGAAGGTTTAATTGATATACCTTCAGCTTCAGCTATGGAAGCCATGCTAGATGATCAGGCCAAGCAACAAAGCTACCAAGTGCTTCTTCAATCATTTTAGCATTTGGTATGTGTGCAAGAAGGGTGTAGTTGGGCTTATCTATAGCCAACAGTTAGACCCTTACATAGTCAATAGGAAGGGGCTTGTTGTGAATCACATTACTTCTTACAATGTTGAACATGCATCCAGTTGCGAAAACACACTCATACAAGATGTCAACTAGGTATTCAACCTTAGCCTCTACCTAAACAATAAGAAAACAACATTATACCACATGAAAAGTGATTGCTCCTACAAATGCATGAAATTGATGTAGTTATAAATCCAGGAGTATTCTAAGAGTTGAATGTAGAGGAAAGCAGTTAACTTTGTTATTTATAAAACAAATAGTGGTTTTGAAAAGAGATTTAATATTCAATAAAAGAGCACAAATACAATGAATCAACAAATCAATCAAGCATTAAGGATCTAGATTCACTTACCAGGATGGTTTACTCTAATTCAGTTAATTATCTTCCCTTATATATAGTGACAATCGTTACTCAAGCATCCTAATTACCTCCAATTATATTAAGGTATACTTATCTCAAGTTGAATTAGCTCTCACTAATCCTATTAAGACCTAAGATAAATTATGAATATACGATCTAAGCCACCACATATCCTAAATCTATATCAAGTTTAGTTATTTGTGTTTATCTCTCTAAGTCTAGGCTAACTCTTCACCTCTCGGTTCTTCAAATAACCTACAAACAAATTATCTAATAGCCACATATATAATAAGGCAAGAAAGAACAAGAAAGATAAATATAAATAAAATAAAAATTGTACTAGACAAAAAATCATTTTCAATAGGAAAATAAAATAACCAAATAAAAGAGAAAAAATTAATCTAGCCAAGCTACTCTCTATCCTGAATGAGAGTTTATAGAAAACTCATAAAGTTAAAACCAAAAATCCTAAATAAGAACATAAACAAAATCTAAAGAAGAAGAAAAGAGATAAAGCTCCCAATTTGAAGGAAATCCTGAACTCCATAACATGCCTCCTAATCTTAAAATATGAAATTAGGTGAGTTGAGAGGATTTTGAAAGATTTATTTATAATTAATTCATTATTTGATTTGCTAATATATGATTTAAAATATATTTAAATATTAATTTATGCTTGTGGACTTCACATCCGAGTATGGTCAGGCACAGTTCATCCATGTCCACACATGGTCGAAAGTCGAAGCTCCATATCCAGTCGGCTTTTTGCTCGTGGTCGAAGAGTGCTAACTCCATATGTTCACAAGCGGTGAAGATTTGCACCATAGTTCTCCACAAGCATTGATAAGGGACTCAAAGTCTTCACTATGAGTTACATCCGCACATGGTAAGCCTCTGTTTTGACTTTGTCCATGAGTAAACACTTCTTTTGGAACTTGTTCTTGGGCTTTGACTCTGGGCTTCACATTTTAAGACCTTTTTCATGCTATTTTGTCTCATTTTCCTAAAAATATACCAAAAGTACTAAGTTAGGCCTTTTATTCATATTTATCCTTTTTCCATGCATTATTTAATGAATAAAAGGGTGGAAAATATATATAAATATAAGAAAAATATCCACTTATCAAGAAGAGTAAGAGATAAATAATACATTAACTAAGGCTTTTAGCAATGTTACCTTTAGTAATTTTAGAGAGGATAAGCCCATGTAGCTTTCTTTCACACTTGGGCTAAACTCCACAACAAGATACCCCCACAATCACCTCTTAAACAACATCTCAATGTATTTATTTTGTTTCTCCATGATTGCCTAGGTTTTGCGTAACTCTTCCCACAACAAATTCACCTCTTCACAATTAGCAATCTTTAGGTTTCTTTAGCATTGTTGTGAAGTACTCCTTCTTAGTTACTC